ACTGCCAGGGGCCCACTCTTCTCCAGCCTGGCCTCGTGCAAATCTGATGTCGCCTGCAGAGACACTGCTCCCAGCCCAGTTCACGTGCGCTGGGACTCTGGGTGCTAGGTGCCCTCCGCGGCACAGTGGTTAAGTGCCTGGCAAACCTGCCAGAGCAGGGGTGGCAATTTCCTCCCCTCGTTGATGTGACAACCCGGAAAATACTCCAACCACGTCACACGGGTCACTTGCCATGAGCCAGAAATTGACATGGAAACAGGCACTGGGATGTGAACCCCTGTTTGGGGGGCACTTGGGACCCCACCTTATGGTGCTGAGTGAGGTGTTGCTAGGAGCTGTCCAGGTGGGTCCGACCCGTAGCACCCCTGTGTGCAGTGGGAGGAAGCACCACAAGGCCCTGCGCTGTCCTCACATCGTTCCTCTGCCTGAGCCCACGGCTGCAGCCGCTGGGCCACTCCATCTCCTTGGGGGCCTCCCTCTCTTTCACTGCCCCCCTACTTGGCCAAGCATGATGGTTTTCTCCAGGGACTGGTCTGTCCCCTCTTCCCAGTCCCAGTGACCCTGGTGTTCAGTGGTTTGGCAGTTAGCAGGTTGGGCTGCGATCCCCATGCTCGGAAGTTCGAAACTATCAGCTCCCGACGCTGCCATTGGCCAAGGCTTTAAGCCTCCATGGAAGCCGATAGCCTCCCTTAGCCCCGCAGAGCAGCTGGCAGAGCCGGCGGGCTGCTTCTGCGAGGTCGCAGTCTTGAGGCCCCTAAAGAGCAGTTCTTCTCGGACCCCGGTAGGGTCACCCTGCCGTGTGACCGACTTGACTGCTCAAACAAGTCACTAGAAGTTACTGCATCTCAGTTGTTTTAACAAGCCAGGGCAGTGTTTTCATGGGGACACACACATGCACATGGTCCTTTTCAACCCACAGGAGCATGGGTGGTGAGCACTGTGTGGAGAGATGACTCGGATACCAGGAGCCCCCTGCACCAGTGAAGAGGCTGGGGTTCAGACCCAAGTGGTCAGCACACTCCTCCACCCCCTCCGTGTGCATGGCTTCTCCCCAGGTGGCTCTGCCTCACTGGCTGTGCAGACCCCAGCCCGGGGGGGTTACTGCAGGTGGTTTGGGGCCCACCTGAACCCCAGCCCCCAGTGGCATCGTCACCCAGCAGGTTGGCCCTGTGAAGCAAGACCCAGCGCTGGGCACCCGGACAAAGCTGCCCCCAGGGCCTCTGGCTCCGCTGATTACCAAATGGCAAACCGCCGCGCCGCGGACAGCTGCTTCCTTCCTGCTGCCTCGGGGCTCCTGGTAACCCGGGTGTCCCGGCCCCCGTGGGCAGCCCTCCCTGGGCCTCTGGAGCTGGCCCACTGCTTCCTACCAGATGACCAGTGGCGGGAGGCCCAGCCCCGGAGCTCTGGGAATGGGTTGCGTTTCCCCCACTGGTTCGGTCTGAAGGCCAAATAGAATGATACCCTCCCCGAGAGAAGGCTGAGCCCTCCTGGTCCAGCCTCAGGAGGATGCAAGGGACACCCGCTAGAAACGGGGGGGGTGGGGTGGGGGTGTCGGCAGCACCAGGAGCGAAAGTGCCTGATGGCAAAGCAGGGGTGGGGTTCCTTCCGTACGAAGCGGCCCTCACGACTCAGCCCGGAAAGGTCTGACCACGCCGTGGGAACGAGCCCTGGGCACATGATGATGGCGAGCAGAAAGCCGGACTCGGACGTCCCCACGGGTTCTCGGAATCGCTTGGCGGGAGACGTTCAGGATCGGCAGACCGACCGTAGTGGTGTTCCGGTCGAGCTCCTTCCCGAGGGGCCGGCACTTTGAAACCACCAGCTGTCCTCAGGGAGCAAGGCAGGCCTTTCTACCGCTGTAGAGATTCGCAGTCCGGGAAGCCCAAGGGGGCAGTCCCACCCTATCCTGTCGGGTCGCTGAGAGTCGGCGAGGGAGTGATTCAGAAAGTGGATGACGAGTTGCTTAGCGTTGGGCTATGAGGGATCAGCGGAGTTGGTAGCTGTGTTAGTCCGGGTAAACTAGAGAAACCAATTCAGGGAGACGCTCATGTGTGTATAGGAAAGAGATTTATAGACAAGAGCAATTGAATATTGAGAAAACATCCCAGCCCAGTCCAGATCAAGTCCGTAAGTCCAATATTAGCCCATGTGTCTGATACCAATCTATAAAGTCCTCTTCAGACTCACGAAACACATGCAGTGATGCTGAATGCAGGGAGGTCACAGGCCAGTGGGTGCCAAGTCAGTGGTGGTAGAAGCGTCTCAGCACTTGTAGGGGTCTCCATGTGATTCCTCCAGTGCCCAGGGCTGCACCAGGGTAGGTCCATGTGGCTTCTCCTCAGGGAAGTCTCCCTTGTCAGGAGAGAGTCTCCAAGGAAGTGAGCAGAGAGAGAGAGAGGTGTCTTCCACCTCCAAGGAAGAAAATACAGGGAGTTCCCAGAATCCTCAGGAGAAGGCATGTCCACACAGAAGCCTCATTGGCTGTGACCTGATTGATAGGCTAGACTCCACCCCTACACTTTTAATCCTCAAATTGATACGTGATTACATAACTACCACAGTAGCTAAAGGTTTTCTCTCTCTCTCATTGGGGTTTGGATGAAAGTCGCCTGAAGAAAATCGCTTTTCCATTCAGCATATTTGTGCACGAGTTGTTTCCTGACCTGGAACCCATTGGGGGCGGCGGTGCCGCCTTACTCTTCCCACTTCTTCCTGGGATTCCTGTTTTCACTCGTCCCTTCCTGTCTCTTCCTGCCCGCTGAGCCGCCCCCTACCCCCGGCCCTGCCTGGGCCACATGCTGCCCCTTTGAGCTCGCCGGGCAGGCTGATCTAAGAAGTGCGCATTTCCCCGGTGTCTGCCAGCCACCTGTGGAAAAAGAGTGTCCTTACACACTGACTGTGTCTGCCCGTACATCTGCCAGTGGGTGGACAGAGGGACCTTTTTATTCAAGCCACTACACCCTGACTGAGTTGACAGGGTGGGCGGGGAGCTGCTGCTGGAGACCAAAAAAGTAGATGAGTACCGTGAGCGTTTTAGATGCGATGCTGAAAGTGTTGCCAAGGTCAGCCACGCTCCTGCCCTCCACACAAGCCATCGTGCGTAGTCTGAAACAGGGAATTCTCCCAGGGGCTGGTTCATTTTGAAGTAAAGAGGGGGCTTGGAGGACGCCCCAGGGGGAAATGTGCAGCTTCCCCTCTCCTCCTTGCTCCCCGAGGGTTAGAGATGCAGTCAGTACCCCACCAATGATGAGTCACATCATAGCCAAGATTCTCTTTCACGTTGCATTTTGAGATTCGGTTAGACGTCCGTTAACGAAGAAAAGAAAAACCAAACTCGTCGAAGTTGACTTGATTCCACCACCTGGCGATGCCCCGTGCTCAGTCCACCTTCCTCAGTGTCCCCTGCCATCTTCTTGGCTGTGACAATGGGCTCAGGGGCAGCAGCGCCCCGAGGATGGCAGTGTTTCCTTCTGTTGTTGACACTGTCAACACCAGCTATCATTAATGCCAGCAAATCACCGTCATCTTTGGGGTTGTGTGTGTGTGTGTGTGTGT